CATAAATGCATAAAAACATGTTTGTAAATTTTACAAAGAAATGTATGGATCAAAAAAAATATTTGAGAATAACATTTCATCTGTTAATTTAATTGGAAAGATTCCATAGATGAATTCGTAAAGGGAAACTATTCTTGATTCCACTGTAGGAAATCCAAATAAATCCAATATTGTTAACAGCGTCCTTTTTGACAATATATTTNTGTTCCAGCAAATAATATTATCTACACTATGAACATTCCAAACGAGCACCTCACAAGGCACTAATGAACTCAAGGATCAGGGCGTGCTATCCCAATACTCGTTTGTCGATGTTTTGAACGTTTCGATTTTAGCCCAGTATTGTATTAAGATAAAGGATCGTTGCATAAGAGTAGAAAATTTGATCTTCAAACCTCAAGGGAACTTGTAGAAAGCTCTATTTTGGTGGGAAAACCCGCTGACTCGTCCCGGGCTCAAATATCCGGAATTTCTGGCCATGAAAACGATTTGCGAAACTGCTATAAAAACCCTACATATTGAGACATAAAGTGGATATTTGAGTCAGAGTATTTAGTATTACAAACTAGTTCCTGTGTAACACGGGGCATGTGTTTGCCACAATGATAAAGCTTCATTATGAAAAATCTAAAAGATTAATTAAAGAAAAAATATAGTTTTGCAATAATTATATTAAGGCACTTCTAACATGTTACACTCTGTTAAGTGTTAAAACACTCTTATTAAAGCATTGTGTTCAAGTTTCCATAAAAAGGGTTGTTCTTCATGTTTGTATACATTATAATACAAGTGCAATAACACTTTTTCAACAATATGTATTTTTTGCTCTATACTGGACAGGCTTATCATCGGTGATAATTCAATAATTTGTCAGTTTGACCAGTTTATATGTAAATAGATGACTTCACGCTTGACGATGAATCATGGGTAATCAGGACAAGATTACTAGAGGCGATGGGGAAAGAGATACCTTTTTCGCAATATTTCGTTTCTGAGTTAAATATCCCAAACCAGACTCTTTCTGTAGATGGATAATTTACATGTTCAATGTTTTGTGGCTATTTTTGAGCCGATCGGGTCATTCTTGCACGATTTTTTTCAATGCTCAAATTGAGCTATTTTCATCGAGTCTTATCGCAAATCTAGTGCCTCCGTCCTTCTGATAATCAGTGTTTATATGTGGCTTAATATGCTCAAGAACATCACAATACATGGAATAGAGGTATCTCTATCAACTACAAAAGTTTGGTCCCGCAAATTTTCCTCAAAACGGAAATATAGCGAAAAAAGTATCTCTTTCCCCATCGCCTTTTAGTAATCTTGTCCTGATTACCCATGATTCATTGTCAAGCGTGAAGTCATCTATAAACGCGCCGCCTTTGGGAGTAGCCACATGCACTCTTTGTGCGCCTTTAATTTTAAGTGTCAAGCGCGACTCTAACACCCAGGCAAAATATTGCACGGCAATTCAAATGTACTTAGTATTTGTCTTCGAAAAATCGTTTCCCGCCTCTGATTTCTTCCAGAAGAGTGTCTCTGCCGCCAAGTCGAGTTTTATAATGCAGTCCTAGGGGCTTCTGTTGCAGCAAATGACTCAAAAAATCATTTAAAA